AAAAATCAGCTGTAAGTAACAACAGACCAGCATCACTATGGTGGGAGGTATTTCCTCAGGGTCAGCACACAGAGGGGACCCGCACCTCTATTTCAAGCTGGAAGCAGGACTTGGTAATGTATAAGAGTCTCCTTCATGGTTCTGGTGTTGAAGGCGTGAAGGGGTCACAGAGAGCAGCTGAGGCTTGGCAATGTGAGAGGCCAGGAAAGGCCATAGGTGAAAGTGCAGCTGCAGCTGCAGGGAAGACCCCAGGATTGAAGGGGTCATGGAGAGATTCTGAGGCTTTGCACCCCAAGAGGCATGAAGAGGCCATTGATGAAGATGTGGCCTCAGTTTCAGTGGCGACCCCAGCATTTTGAAGATGCCAGAACCATGGGACGACTACCAAGGACAGTGGCAGTTGTGGAATGGAGTTGGCCTGGGTCTGCGAAACGAGCTGAGTGTGCTGTGGACTGCAGAGTCAGAGCAGTGGAGCTGCCAGTACCCTTTGGAGCCCAGAGGATCATGAGTGAGTCCCAGATGTCCAGCCTCGAGATACTTTGCTGGACTTTGGTTTTGCTTAGGTATGCCCAATTCTTCCCTTTGATATAAGACAGTACTTGTTTTGGATTTTATAGAAGCCCACCCACAGTTAAGAGACTATTAAGAGACTATGGACTTTTAAGTGTTTGGATTTTTTAAGGACTGTGGGGTTTTTAAGGTTGTACTGTCTTATGTTGTGATATTAATGTCAACATCATGTCTTGGGGACAAAAATTGGAAAGTTTATGGTTTAATAGTGATGTTTGTGTGTCAAGTTGACAAGGGGTCAATTGTGCTGGATAGCTTTAGTGTCAACTTGACACACCTGGGTTGAGGGAGCCTCAATTGGGGAATTTCCTCTATTGGACTGGCCTGTGGCCATGTCTGAGGGGCATCTTCTTGATGAGTGATGTGGGAGGGCCCAGCCCACTGTGGGTGGTGCCACTCATGGGCAGGTGGGCCTGTGTTGCATAAGAAAGCAGGCTGAGCAGGGGCCAGGAGAGCAAGCCAGTAAGCAGTGTTCCTCCATGGCCTGTGCTCCAGCTCCTGCTTCCAGGTTCCTGCCCTGAGTTCCTACCTTGGGCTCCCTGATGAACTGCGACCTGAGAGTTGTAAGCTGAATAAACCCTTTCCTCCCCAAGTTGGTATTGGTCAGAGTGTTTTGTCACAGCAATGAAGAAACAAACGAGGACAGACCCTTTGCTTGATGACCTTTAGATAACTGTACCAGTTCATAATGGAGCTCTGGTGCTGGGAAAAAAAGTTTGTCCTCTTGTGCACAGGTAAAAAACAAGACACCTTTTTATCCCTTACCCATAACCGTTTTCTTGGTCCTGTAACCATTTAAAAGCACACAACTCTTGCCACCTCTCTTGAAACTCTTTTGGATTCAGGAGTTTCTCTTTCTTTCTAATAAATGGTTTTGGTTGAAGCACTCAAGTCTGGAGCCCATAGGTTCATTCCTTGTCCTCTGCAGGACACAATCCTGAGGCCACAGCAGCTTGTAGCTGCAACTACTTCCCCTCACTGCCTGCTGCTACTACAAGAGTCTTCAACTGGATTCCAGAGTGAGGGGCGTCTTTCCCCCTTTCCATGTCCCCAAGACAAGAGCAACCTTAGCTACATAAGGAGTTCCAGGCCAGCCTGAGCTGTATGAGACCTTGGCTCAAAAAAACAAAAAATTAATTGAGGTGCTGGAGAAATGGCTCAGCGGTTAAGAGCACTGACTGCTCTTGCAGAGGACCCGGGTTCGAGTCCCAGCACCCACATGGCGGCTACGAACCGTTCTTAACTCCAGTTCCAGGGGAATCTGAAGCCCTCTTCTGATGTCCACCGCACTGCAGGACACTGGGTGCACTCACATACATGCAGGCTGTACACTCATACACATAAAATAAAAATAATAAATAAAATATCTAAAAATAAATAAATAATTTTTTTTAATTACTTGAATAGTTAGGTTCTTCAGGCTAGCGAACATGCTTTGCCGTCAATATCTGGCCTATATATAATAGTTCAGTGGGTGTTGAAGTGCATGTCACAAATCATCTGGCAAAGATGGTGCCGGGGGCCCTAACTCAAATCCTTTCAGGCTTGCTCCCTTCCATTTTGGTCAGAATGCCCTCCTGCAATGAGGTGACAAAAGATTGTGTGATTGTGGGCTGAGCTGGCTTTAGCCGGGTAACGGGCCTTGCTCCTTCGACAGTATTTGGGGAAAGCGTCACACAGTTCCCTCCAGTTTAGCCTCTCGGCTTAGGTGCACAGAACCTGGATAGAGACCTGCGGGGCAGAGACACAAACTGCTTCAGGCTTCTGGCTACTCCCATCCTGTGCCTCCAAGTCTGGCCACCAGTTTTGGGCACGGTGGCCTGGTTACCCTTCCCCGGAACAGCAGCCCAGGCGGCCGCACAGCGCCCTCTAGTGCCAAGCCGCGCCGTCGCCCACCACTCGTGCTTCTTGTGGCTGCAAGCCCGGAGCCGGCTCCCAGCTGGGGGCTGGATCGGGAAAGGCGGGAGGCGGGGCCCAGCGGGAGTGTCTCCGAGAAACTCGCGGCCTTCGGCGTCTTCCCGGCCCGGGAAGTGAGCCTGGGTCAGCGACCACAAACAGGAAGTCGGGCTGTAACAAAGAGCCGAGGGCGGGGAATCGAGGAGCCCCGGGGCGCCAGGCGGGGGCGGCAGGTGGACTGACCCCGGCGGGCGGGCGCACCTGCCTCTTTTGCCTGCGGGCTGGAAACCCGGCCCGGGCCACCCGGCGGGCCCGAGTTCCTGGGTGAAGGCCCCTGGGGAAAGGCCACTGGGGCCTCCCAGGAGCATCCCCTCCCCGAGAAGGGACAGTCACAGTTCCCTGAGTGAATCACTTCCATCTTAGTCCCGGAATAACAGGCGGG